AAAAAAAAACTGAAATCTGTTTTCAGAAAACGAAAACGTGAAAATGAAAACGTATTTTTTTCGTTTTCAGTTTTTCACAAAAAGACAAAAACGTTTTTGTTTTTGTTTTCTAACACAAACTTCGCCAAACACGTTTTTCATTTCTGTTTTCAATTTTTGCTTCAAAAAATATGAAAAATGAAAATAAAAACGGTAACAAACAGGCCCTAAAAGTAATTATATTTACACTCACAAAATTCATTAATATCCTCATCAATTAATAATTTATTTTTGTTACAATTTTACCTTACATTAAAATTACATTGAAACACATTAACATACCTTCACATTAATTATAAATGGAAATAATATATATTTTTTTTCTAAAGAAATAAAAGAGCACACACCCACGTTAATTATAATTAAAATGTATTTTTTCAAGAGAATAATTCATTTTTATAAACCTTAAACTTTTTTCCGTTAAATCTTTAAAATTTTCAATGGGAACTCCAATTGAAACAAAAAAACAGTTTAAAGCATCTCTTTTTGAAGAGCGAAGAAATGCTACGTTTGGTATGAACATTTATAAATCTAGTCGTAGAGACCCTTCAGCTTTTTGAATATGCTTCCATGGAAAGTAAACATTTATCTGGGAATTCCATTTCAATGACGAGATCGATAATAAGGAAGAAACATAACTTAAATTGTAAAAAGATATTAATGAACACCATACAAAAAAAATTAAGATGAGGATAATTGATAAATAAAAGTAAATTTTCTTTTAAAAAAATACAACATTAATAATCAAAATGGATTATATTATTTTATAAACCAAATCAAGATTAAAATCAGGTGGGGTATAAAATGGTTAAATTAGGTATTATGAAAATTATATCTATAAAAGAATAGATTTTTTAAATCTTTATTAAATGAGCATTAATTAGTGGGGGCATCTATAAATTTTTAGGATGTAAATATAACTACTCAAAGGTTAATATGTTTAAGTGGGACAATTTAATATTCTTATATGACCACGATTATGTTTGTATTTAAATGATGTGGAACTCAAATATTTTACGCTTAGCAGAAACATTGACCAAAATTCCTAGCATCAATCTATCTTTGTCAATAATGATAAGCAAACTAATTTTCAAAAAAAAAAAATGGATAAACAAACTATATTGAATTTGATGAAAAGAAAAGAAATCAATTTGAGCCCAAAACAATATTTCTAAACACTTACAAGGTTGAAGTCTTTGAGCTTGCACTTTTGAATATTTAACAAAAAATAGGGGGGAGAAACAGGTTAACCAAGCAAAAGGTGTTAAAAATAAGTACAAAATCAAATGAAGCAATATGATTGCATTCCCGTGAGCTGAGTTTCAATTTCCCTTCTCCTCAACTCTGTCTTTTGAACTCTAACAAAACAATAAATAGAAAAGAATTTAAAAAAAAAAAAAAAAGTCAAAGAACTTATTTTGCTGATGAAAGGTCAACTATCTTCCAATCTGTTCACTCTCTCTAGGAGATTACTTATTGTAATGGAAAAGGCATCCTGAAACCTCTCAAGCTGAGAATCTGTGTCCCCATAAACTAGACCAGGCAATAGCTCATACACAATAAATCTTCTCATATCATCCCTCTCTTTCTTGGTGATTTTCATCAATTTCTCCACCACATTTACCCCCTTTTCTCTCACTTCTTTTTGGTCTATGAAAACTGAATACTTGCCATGATCTTCCGGTAAATGCCAAGGATACTGATAGTAAGCTGTGAAAGGATCAAACAGAACCGGTATACAGCCTGACACTAGAGAATCAAACACGGATTTTCGAGTTGGGCTGTCTCCTGGAGGCTGCAAACAGAATTCGGACTCCATGAAGAGCTCGATCACCGATTCGGGTTGGCTGCATCCCCGTGGACTGCAGTCAAGAATCTGGCATTTCTGAATTTCCACTGAAGTGCATTGCTTGATCAGAATAGACCTTATGTTCTCGGGGGCATCGGGGCGCGCTGCTCCCGCGAAGCTCACGAGGTGTTTTCTGCTTGAAGTTATGATTTTGGATTGCCAGGACATGATGTCTTCATCTGAATGTGGGTGGAAGTAGGTTGGATGCGGAATGCCAATGTCGTTTTCGTGCCACGGTTGTCGTTCGATCAGGAGTTTCACGGGGTTCTGCATTTGTTCAAGCTCTAAGAATCTGGTTCCCCATGACTTCTCCTTTCTCCTGAAATCCCATGAAACTTTTCCCAGCACAAAGACATGATCTTTCCCCGAATTCGGAGCCCAAGGCCTTTGTCTTTCTAGCCACTTGACCAACTCCAACCCCAAAGTATCCTTGACATCATTTGAGACATTCTTGAAATGCCATCTGAGGATGTCCAGGCCACCATAGAATGGAACATAGAAAAGCTTGGCTTCATTTTCATTTTGAACCCTGCAAGGATGCTTCAAGACTCTTGAATGGAAAATAGGCTCCAGAGAGTACTGATGAGTCCGGTACCACGCTTTCCCGAGCTTCGGAATAGGCTCTCCCAATCCTTCATTGCCGAAATACTTGCAAAAGTCCATCCATGGAACCATGTCCCTGCACTGACCAACCAAGTCCTTATTAAACTTTGATGGCAGATCATAGACATAAATTCCCCTCCCATCACACCCTTTTCGGTTCCTATCCGACGTCCACGAGCGGAGCACTTGAAGATGTTCTTCGACAAACTTCACCGCACCTGCAATCTCATTTTCTCTGCCATGGCTGATACTATCTCTGACAGTTGGATCAGAACCATCCCTGACAAATTCAAGAATATTTTCTTTCTTCATCTCCACATTGGCAATAGAGCTATTGCTAACTACAGGAGTTGGCACTTGTTTCTTCACTTCCACATTTGAAGCAGGACTAGTTATAGCAATGTTGCTAACTATTGGAGTTGGGATTTCTTTCTTCACCTCCAAATTGGCATTAGAATTAGCGATAAAACTATTGCTAACAATTGGAGTTTGGATTTCTTTCTTTATCTCCACATTGGTAATAGAACTGAAGGAAATGCTATTTTCAACTCTTGGAATTGGCATTTCTTCCTCAATCTCCACATTGGCAATAGGACCAACAATAGTACTATTTTCGACAATCGGAATCGGGATTTCAAATTTTGGCTGTGTGCCGGCAGATAGGCAGTAGAGACTGTTGAGCTTCCTTGAAGAAACACAAACATGAAGAATCTTGCCAGAGATGATGGTGGTGGAGGAAGACCAAAGGTAGATGAGAAACAAGAAGGAAAGGGCTATAGGAATTCTGTAGAGAAATCTGACTAGAATTGTGAAAGAGGAACAGCATTTTTTTGGATCTTCTTTCTTGGAAACTTTGGATTTCTTTTTGGTCACAGAAATGGCCATTTTGGGAAATAATATTTTTCTTTCTGCTAGTGCAGCTTGCAGAGAGTCTTTGTTTCTTCTGGTTTTCTAGTGTTGGGAGGTTGTATTGGGGTCATATAATAATTGAAAACATGAAAGCACGTATTAAAAGTTGTATCATATTTGTGTGCACGTTAGATTGTGAATTCCACAAAACTATATCGAATATAGTTGACTATTTTATATGTATGTATGTTCTAGCCATATTTAGGGAGAACGATTATAAATTATTATATAAATTATTAACGGTTTGGTGTATGTTTAATTAGTAAATATTCTGGTTGTTTATACATACATGGAAATAAAAGTTGACTTGCTGGTTGGACGTTCTAAAGACAAAAATAAGTGTACATGTATGCATACACGTAGACTTGTGGATGTACATGAACACTTCCTTTTCTAAAAGAAATATTTAGACTTCCACAACCATATATTCTCTTGTTATATATACATTATTCTATACATACATATATATATATATAAACATAATGCAACTTTCTGCAATGTTCAATGTTCATCATAAGTAGTTTTTTTTTCTTTTTTTTTTTTTTTTAAATTCGTCATAAGTAGTTTTAAACCACATTCTTAGCATTAATATTTCTCAAAACTATATTCTAAAGGATTCCCAATTTTCCATTTGTCAAATCATAGTCATGATAAATTAAGTGATAGGCAAAATATATAGGAATTGCTTCATTGATTAAATGTCCAGACCATACCTATTACTTCTGATTAATTAATTAATTAATTAATTAATTCAGAAAATATGAATTATGCGAACATTCCCTTGAAAAACCCCTATAAATAGAGCATAGCCTCCCCATCAAATCAAGAATATTTAAATCCATCCTCGAATCAGCATTCATAGCTGACCCTTGAAGCAATTCTCAGTGTAAAAATATATTTTCCTTTGACAAGTAGGATATATTTTTTTACATAATTCTTAGAGCAAGAATAGTTATGCAATGAAGCAACGTACAAGAAATCAAAAGAGCCCGGCCACTTAAAATAGTTATAATTAAAAGCAAAATTATCAATAAAACAAACATATAATAACAACTTAGCTCAATTCAAGAATCAATAAAACAAACATATAATAATAGTTTCTTTGAACTCGTTACCTTTTCAAAATCCTTGAAATTATACCATCACAGTTAAGCATATTAAAAGGGGACAATTTATCACTAATTGATAGTTTTGATCTCTACAACGTGGGAGTTGTATTCTTTCTATGTGATCCTTTGACACTAAGCCTCAATATTAATTCTTTGGTATTTACATCATAATTTTGATGCCTCCAAATCTATGAGCTATTTTGACAGTGTGAGGTATTATTCCTTATTGAACTGCCTACATTAGTATTTTATATTATCGTTGCTCTTATACATATAAAAGCGAAAAAGAAAAAAAAAAAAAAGTTAATGGATGTCCTAATTTTTATCGTTTGGTTTTGATCTATTTGGTTTCAGTGTAGAGACTTAAGAATCCTCGTGAAAGAAACTTGATAGGCTAAACTAATTTAATATATATATATATATATGTATATAGATACACACACACACAATAACAACAATAGTATAGTTTTACTTGAATAATTACTTGTTAACATGTCATTATGAATTATTTTAATATTTTAATAGCTTTTGTTTTAAAGAATATCATGGATTTAAATTAGTGTTAGTTTTACCTACTTGCATCCATTAAACATTGCCCATTGTTTTTATTTTTGAGAATATTTCACATTTTTCATTTGTGGTGTTTGACAGATTTTCTATATATTTTGATATTATACATACACACACACACACACACATATATATATATATATATACATATATATATTTGCTGCTGCGTAGGCGCTTGTGATATTAAAAAAAAGATGATGAAGAGAAGAAGAAGAGGACAATTTTTTTTATTTTTAAAATATATATCTAATCTAATAATACACAAAGACTCTTTAATAATATTCTATCCTAAGGCTGCCACGTGGCAGCCTCTCATTTTCTTCTTTTTTTCTTTTTTTCCTACTATTTTACCTTTTATTTTTATTTGTCTAATCTAATTTAAGGTATGTTCATTACATGACTTAAGTCATATTACTACAGTGTTTTCTCTCACAAAAATTTAAATTCAATTTTTTTGCTATAGTTTTTTTCTCTCTCATATACACAATTCAAGTCATAACTCAAGTCATGCAAAAGAACAAACCCTTAATCTAACATCTAATCTAATCTAACAAAGCTCTTTTCTATGAGGCTGCCACATAACAACCCCTCTACTTATCTTCTTTTTTCCCTCCCTATTTTTACTTTTTTATCTTTATTTTTTATTTTTTTGAATGTTTTAATACATTTTAATTTTGTGTGCACTTTTAAAAATTTTTTTCACTTTACTCTTATGGAAGTAATTTTTTTCGCATGTGTTCTTATTTTATTTTTTAAATTATTTAAAATATTTTTTTTCAAATGTGTCCTTACTTAATTTTTTTTTTGTCAATTATTATCTTTACACATATTTCTTTTTAAAATAAATTCAAAAATTCTTAAATGGTTCTATAAATAAATTTCTCATTATTCGGTAAACAATAAACTCTTCAGGTATCAACAATACGTGCGGAGTACGTTACGACAAATCGACTTGGCCGAGTTGCCTTCCTTACACACACACAACACATATATTTATTCACCTAGCTCATTACCAAAAGTATTACTATTATATTCCTTTCGCTTATCCTATGTTCTTTCGTTTCCACCCCACCAAACCTTATTATAAATAACTTTGGAACTTTAGATGAAGTCCCGCGTAACATCGAAAGAACATAACGTATTTTTCTATTTCTTTGTTATTCATTCTTTGAAATTCATATCACCAACCCGCTCTTTGATTAGCTGCTAGAAGTAAGTGGGACGTAATTTACTCCAATTCATATTCCACTTTACATCTATAATATTAGCTTTTGTCGTTTATCGGTTTATACGTGCATGAGGCTATGCTGATAAGCGCATACATGTATATACAAATAAATACACACACAAACAACTCATGGGAAAACCATTAGAGGTATTAATCATTGCTTGCTTTAATTAGTCTTCTGATCTTTTTT